GAACACCTCCAATTACACTGTGACGGCGCGGAGACGAGCATCCTTTCATCCGCTGCCCAAGAAGATGCCAGCTAACATATGCGCTTTAAACACTCTGCAGACCTCTGTAGCCTCAGGAATGCTTTAAAAAGACTTATTAGACATAAAAGAGCTAGTCTGAGACAGTGAATGTTTGGGGTTTGTTTAGATTTCTGCACAAATGTGGCCTAGAACATGACCTGACTTTTATTCTCAAATAAACAGCTCAAAAATGATAATACATGCAAAAAAATAAAAATCTGTATCCATAAAAAGGTGGTCATAAATTAAATAAAACAAATGCCAATCAGTTCAGACAGTGACACTCAAATAAAAGCAACAAGAAATATTTTATGCTGTATTGTGAACACATTTATTGAGGGTCTTGTATGATCTAAAACTCAAAAGAAGTGGGGTCACACCACATGACAGTGATCCCAAACAGAGGTGTATATCAACAACAACAGCAGCAGCACAATTGGATGCAATTTTGTATTTTTTGGTCTTCTCTGGAGTCCTGGTTCCAATTCCATTTGAAACGCTGTGGTATGAGGCAGGCAACTCAAGCAAGACATCCTATAAATATACATAAAATTAAACTCTTTTGGATAGAAGAATGGGTCAGATATGTGCTATCCACTGGAAAAGTTGTGCAGCAGCTAAAGAAAGTGTTTATTTGACATTCTGTTTCCCATTTCTTTTAAGATCCTTTTTCCTTAAGCTTAATTTTTCAAGATAAACACTATATTGTTTATCTTACAAAAATGTTTTTAATAATTTATTACATAAACAGTATTTTATAGCGCCTCATCTTAATGAAACCGTTTATAATATTTTATGCATTATATTATTTGATTCTAATTAGGGATGCACCGATACCACTTTATCCAGTACTTGCCCGATACCGATACTTTTATTTTTGGTACTTGCCGATACCGAGTACCGATACCAATATTTTTATTGCATTTGTAAATTGTTTAAATATTGGGTACAGAAAGCAAAAGAGTATGTATAATGTTAGTTGGTTAACTTCATTTATCAAATAGATAGTCAAACCTAAATTTATTCAGACACCTTCAACATTTCTCACATTATCACAGTTTATTCGCTATAGTTTAGAAAATGGTAATAAAATATGACAAGAACTCAGAGTTAAACTGTCAGAACAAATTCAGCTTGATAATGTTATATAACTTTGATAGAAAGGTATGTAATAGATTACAATCAACCAAAAATTTTTCAGACAGCTGTTAGTATGACAGTGTTTACACAACTATCAATACTTAGTCGGGCAACCCTTAGCCTCAATGACAGCCTGTAGTCTCCTGGGCATGCTGTCACCCAGCTTCATGCAAACCTGAATTTCAGTTTATTCCCAGACTCGGCCTGAATAATTGTTGGTCCCAAATTTGTATACATTTTACTGGTAGTCCACTGTATGAAGAAATTGTGGGTATGATTTGTCACAGTTTACTTTATTTTGCCATCCTCACTTACATAAATGAACTATAGTGTCCTGCACCCACTAGTAAAAAAAATCAAAAATTATATCTGGTCTCTGAATCATTTTTGGTTTGACTGTAGTTTTTCCCAGACTCGGTCTGAATAATTTTTGGCCCCAAATTTGTTATCAGTTTTACTGGTAGTCCACCGTATGAAGAATTTTTGGGTATAATTTATCACAGTTTACTTTATTTTGCTGTCCACACTTACATAAATGAACTATAGTGTTCTGCACCCACTAAAAAATATATAAAAAATTATATCTGCTCTCTGAATAATTTTTGGTTTGACTGTATATCCTTCGGTTATTTTCACACTTAATTATGCCCATTAAAATGTATTTTACAAGTTTTTGTTACTTTCACTGTTCATTTTTTTTCTATGGTACATCATCTTTAATTTAATAGCATTAGAGCTGCTCAATTGCAGTTGCTTAGTACTGTAATCATGTGCTTTGCTGTAATGCAGGTAACCACTCGTTATAAATCTCCTAGTTGTGATATTTTCAGAAATAGAAGTTGTTTTTTTCATCTGAAACGTGCTGCGATTTATATTCCAAAGCCACTCATATAATGCAGAAATACTCAATCAAGCAAAACACGCGCAACGTGTGCACATATTTGTACTGGTGCAGTATGAGAGGGACAAGTACAGCCTAGCGCATTTCACACAGGCTAGATTCACTTTCGCCTGAAAGTCGTGTATGCCTAAGGTTGAAAATAAATTATGTTTATAGTGAA